TGCTGGCAAAGTAAGTGACACTAACAAGGAAGAGCTGGAAGAACAATTTGCAACTAATTAGGCTAAAGAGGTAGTAAATGCTGGCAATTAGAAAAAATCCTCTGCAAGGCAATGGCATAATGTGCTAGTATGCATCACATGCTAGCACATTCTGAAAACGTACTTTAAAATAAACCCTTCAATGGTGCGCAGTCACCGCTGACAGGCCTTCCATCTTCACCCGGTCTTCCTTCCGGGTTCACAGGCATCAGTCCTTTGAAAGGCCGAGCTGCATTGATGTCACTCCTGCGCATGTGCATGGGAGACACGGCTACGGCACAGAGCCCTGAAAGGATGGTATGAGCATGCTGTCCCTGTAGAGCACATGCGTCGGTGACATCACCAGCTGCAGCAACAGTGAATATCTCTTAAACAGTGCACATTTAGGAGGTATTCACTGCACCTACAGGTAGGCCTTATTATAGGCTTACCTGCAGGTACAATTGAAAAAAAGTAGTTTACTACCACTTTAATTAGCAACAGGTGAGTAGCATGATTGGGTATGAAAAGAGCATCTTAGAGAGTCAGAGTGTCTTAGAAGTAAAGATGGGCAGAGGTCACCAATCTCTAAAAATTGTTGAACAATTTCAGAATAATTTTCCTCAATGTAAAATTGCAAAGACTTTAACCACTTGCCCTCCAGAGGATTCCCCCCCCCCCCCCCCCCTCCCTTTCCTGTCCAGGCCATTTTTTGCTTTACAGCACTGCTTTATCTTAACTGACAATTGCGCGGTCATGCAAAGCTGCAGCCAAATGCAATTTACGTCCTTTTTTTCCCACAAATTGAGCTTTCTTTTGGTGGTATTTGATCACCTGTGTTTTTTTTATTTTTTGCGTTATAAAAAAACCTGACACTTTTGAGAAAAAACAATATTTTTTACATTTTGCTATTAAACATGTCCAGTAAAAATTTTTTAAAAAAAATCAAATTTCACCATAAAGTTAGGCCAAAATGTATTCTGCTACATGTCTTTGCTAAAAAAAATTCAAATGTATGTAAATTAATTGATTTACGTGAAAGTTATAGTGTTTACAAATGGTGGTATATATACTGGGATTTTTTTCTTTTTACTAGTAATGGCGGCGATCAGCGACTTATTGTGGGACTGCGGCGGACATTCTGACACTGGGGGGAACTGACTTGGTGTCACTGACATCCCCAGCGACACCAATACAGTGATCAGTGCTAACAAAAAGCACTGACACTGTACTAATGGCACTTGGCAGGAAGGGGTTAACATGAGGGGCAATCAAAGGGTTAACTGTGTGCTGGGAGTGTTTTACTTAGGGGGCCGTGTCAATGTGTTTCACTGTAAGCACACTGCTTTGGATGGCTGTGCTGTGCACAGCCATCCAAAGTAGTGTGCCCGAGCTGACAGGGAGGAGAACTATTAGTAAACAAAACAGTTCTCCTCCCTGTTGGAGATCCTTGGAAATCATGGGTTGCCAGTGAGTAATCACCGTCTGGGACCTGGTGATTGATATCTGCGGCCGCGAATGGCGGCGCGGGTAGGGTGTGCGTACCCGCTACCCAGAAATACAAAATCAGAAATATACACGTGATTTTGTGCACCCGTGTCACCCTGTAGCAATGTTTCTGCTATAGGGCGGTCGGGAAGCCGTTAAATATATAATCTACAGTACATAATATCATCAAAAGGATCTGGAATCTTCCTTGCAAGTACCACTTACTTCGCCAGATTTGTGTTGCCCTGTCCCAACCTTTTTGAGACGTGTTGCCACCAATTTCAAAATTACTTTTTTTTCTTAAAATGGGACGTTTTCTCAGTTTAAACATTTGATATTTTTTCTGTTTTGAATAAAATCTGGGTTTATGAGATTTGCAAATCATTCCATTCTGTTTTTATGTAGCTTTTACACAGAGTCCCAACATGTTAGTGTAGTTCAGTATTGTGCACCAGGGGGCAGCATTGCTTTCCATCTCATCATCACCTTTGGCCATCATGAACAAAAGAAGAAGAGTGTTTGGTTTTCTCTTTGTTCTCAGTAGCTGTGGAGATTCCTAAAAATGTGCTGTAGGAATTCCTCCCATTTGTCCTCCTTTCCCCTTTATAATCAAGATGTACTATAATGAATATAACACATCTCCACCAAGACAGAACAGACTCTCCAATTACATGAAGTGTCCTGAAAAGTGGAAAGAATACTTTTTTATTTTATTGTATTCACTTTGTCACATACATGTATCTTATTTTAAAATTGGGTTAAATCTAAAACTTTCCTCATATTCCATCCTGAAGATAAAATACATTTTAATAACTACATTAAACCCAAAAATGGAAGCTTTTTTCCTTCTGTTTTCACCTGGTGATCCAGCCAGGAACACACCTCCTGTATTAGAGTGCCTCCACTCTGGATGAAGGAGCAACAGAGACACCTTTGGACAGCATCATTGTCAGTCTGGGGGGGGGGGGGGAGTGTTAGCTGTACTAGCAGATTTATTTATTTCAGGTACTTATATAGCGCCGGCAATTTACGCAGTGCTTTACATATATATTGTACATTCACATCAGTCCCTAACGCTCAAGGAGCGTACAATCTAAGGTCCCTAACTCACATTCATACATACACATACTAGGGACAATTTAGACAGGAGCCAATTAACCTACCAGCATGTCTTTGGAGTGTGGGAGGAAACCAGAGTACCTGGAGGAAACCCACACAGGGAGAACATGCAAACTCCAGGCAGGTGGTGCCGTGGTTGGGATTCGAACCAATGACCCTAGTACTGCCAGGTGGAAGTGCTAACCATTTAGCCACTGTGCTGCCCATATACACTAACAAATTGAAGCGAAACTCCAGCTAAAACTTTATAATCAATTACAGCAAAAGCTTTGTTTCTCTTGGGATAAAGGGTTTTACACAAATAAATAAAAGCTGACCATTGTAAACACCCCCAGCAATGGTAAATGGTTTGTCTGAGCACTCTAACTGCTACATCAGCAAGACAGGACAGCTTGTGGCTAGATCACCAGATGAAAATAGACAATAGAAAGCCTAAAGAAGAAAACTAATGCAGCCATAACATCTAAGAATTGGTAAGCTGCAATTTAATAAATGTTTGCTTTTGGGTTTAATTCCGCTTTAACATGTTTTACAGTTTTAAACCAAAGATAGTTCCTCCTGCTTGTTTTGCTTTAGTTGAGTTGTCATGTCGTTGTGGACGACATTGTCACCAATTTGTTACAATACGTTTCCCTAGTAAATAGCAGTTTGTTCTTTAATGAAGTATAAATGCTACAATACAATATCCCACATATACAAGTTATATCCTAACCTATTAACCAACCAGTTTGTTTTACAGACTTCTAAACAGAATCTGCAAAATCATAGAGAGAATCTACAAACTCCATGCATGTATATATATATATATATATATATATATATATATATATATGCCCTCTGATTCCTACTGTATTAGATTGTATTGTAATTGTACATATGTTGTAAAGTGCTGCGTAATCTGTTGGCGCTATATAAATTCTGTATAATAATAATACGTCTATTGCTGACAATGTACACAGAGCTTTACATAATTGCACATTCACATCAGTCCCTGCCCTCAAGAAGCTTACAATCTAATGTCCCTATCTCATCATACATATATACATACACTACACTAGGCCAATTAACCTGCCAGCATGGTTTGAACTGAGGACCCTAGTGCTGCAAGGCAGAAAGTGCCCACCACTAAAGCTGGCCATACACTATTACATTTTTGTTCAAAATGTTTGCTTTTAAGAATGTTCATTTGATTTTCTAATCCTTAGGGGGGTCAAATCAGCATCCGTTTTTGGCCACACTAACGAGAAAATTTGAAGAAGCATGATGGAAAACGTTTCTCAAATGAACGACTTTCTGAACATTCGTTCAGGAAATTACATTCACTCCAAGATTGAATGTTAAAAACCAAGTACTTATGAATTACATTCCTCAAGAATGACTTAACTGAGAATTTTCACTCGATTGTACAAATATTCATTTGAATGTTTGAAAACCTACTGGCATATGGCCAAAGGGTGAGTTCACCTTTACAGAAAACTTTAGAAGTGAACGAACACCAGACTGTGACAGCGCTGACCAATCAGAATTGATCTGGTCCATGCTGGAAATGCTGCTAGGATTTCAATCTCTGGAACTGCTGGACCGGCTGCAGACCCACACATTGCTCAGCAGCCCTGGGAGGTAAGTACAGAAGGAATCAGAGTGGTAGGGAGGATGTTAATTCAGTTTTACATTTTTTCTGAAAAAGTGAACCTGTTCCAGCAATAAAAGCCTAAAAATGTAGAAAGTCACCAGCACTCCAGAGGATTATTTTCACTTTTTTTTATTGTAAAGAGTTTATTTCACAATTAAATAAAAGCGAACACTTCAGGGGCCTTGTATGCTCCTTCAGTCAATTGAATGAAGATTAACTTTGCAAATCACATGAAAAGCAAATTACCATGTATTTTTTTTTTTTTTATCTTCACGTGATTAGGTATTAAAAGTGAACACCGCTACAATGTATTGAGTGAAGGTTCTCCACTTTGGTAAATCAACCCCATTGCATTGCTGCTTATTGCATTAACAACAGTGTCTGGAACAGGAAGTGATGGAAAATCTCCCCCTACAGGACACAGCCAAAAAAAAACCTGACTGGAGTCTTTACCATTCACTACTTTATCCAAAACATCCACTTTAAATAAAGATGAATTAATTATATACAGAATGGAAGTTTAATGGTTTCAAACAGCCTTTATGCTACCAGAACCACAAACACCGCTGACAACGCTGATCTTCTCCTCAACGCATGGGCTGAAGAACTTGGTTTTTACAATGACTAGCTGCCTGGTGGAGTTTTTGAACTACGACTTTTTTGGGAACTTTGATCCTTTTTTTCGAACTTTCTTTTGGAAGTTTGAACTTTAGAACTTGGGAACGTTGCCCAGCACCTTAAATTAGCTGGCGTGCACTGCGTTAATGGCTGGTGCTGGTTCATTGGGGTTCTTAGCGTGGTTCAGTATGGTCTGTTCACTGACCAAGATCCACAGTTTGTCCAAGTTATTTGTGGGACAATAATGCCGATTTCTCTGCAGGTGGTAATGCGTCGTACTGACCTTACCGAAGTTATCAGGGTGGTATTTATCAAAGCTGATCATGTATTGATGGTACCACGGCATTACGGCGACCACCGGAATGCTTCCTGTGCTGTGCTAACATGACCATGACAAGTCTATGGAGAACCCTTGTCTTTCTTAGCTTGGTAGGCATGACAGCGGCTGCAAGAGAAAGAGCTCACAAGATTTTTGGCAAATTGTTTTGCAATTGTTGAACAGATAAAATAGAACACTTTCCATAGTATATGTAACTGACCTAAAGGGAGAAAATAAAGGAAATGTATTGTTAGAATTTACATACACTTATGACCAGGCTAAAGGATCTTTTTGCGTATGGACGTAAAACATCCACTGTAGTTTACAAATGTTAAAACACCTACAGAGGAGACGAAAGAAAAAACAGGTTGTTCGCCATGACTAGACACCTGTGCCTTCCCCAGTGAATTAAAGGTGCTGCCAGTATCTTGTGAAGTTGATTCTCAGAAACGCAATGTTATTCTCAGCTTCAACGTCCATCTGTATTTTTTTCTCTAATACCGCTTGACATTATTTCTGCTCCATGTAACACTGACGTCTCCCTACATTTCAGAAAATAAAGACTTCATATTCCACCTGTCTGCACCAATTGTTGTGTGCACAATGTGGATATCCCAGTTCCTCGAAGTGGCAGCTCATTAAGAATTTTTCTAATTACTCCTCTGTATTCTGACACATATAAAGACTACAGCAAGAAGAGTGGTAAAAAATATTAAAATGAAAGAATGTTAGTAGAGAGAGACAAGTGACAGCATAAAATCAAGTCTGCCCCCCCCCCCCCCCTTTTTTTTTTTAATTATATAGAATTATAGAAAAGTTACAACATTTTGAGACAAAAGGAGACATTGTATCCTTAACTGAAAAATGAGCCATGAAATATATACAGGGAAAAAAAAAAGCTAACTGTCCTGGGCTACTGGTTTTTAAGCCTGACACCTTATGTTCAAAGAGGTCCTTATTACCTCAGTCTGATAGACTTTGTTTAGACTTGTGATTGGGGGCGGCAATAATTGCAGTTGAGACATGGTTTTGCTGCCTGTGAAGCGCCCCCTCTTAAGCTGCAATAAGCAGCAGAAAGTGTTTACATACAGTGGCTGCGATGCTTGTAATGAACACGGTTGCAGGACATTTGTTAGCAAAAACAGTGCGAAAACAGGTGGTGAGGAGGCGTCACATTGCTTCCTCACTGCCCAAATGTGGATCGGGCTTCAGTGGACAGGGAGATTAGATGCATGTCTAAATCTACCCATATTCTCAAGACGCCATCCTCAGGGGCGGACTGAAAACTCATGGGGCCCCCGGGCAATAGGGGATCATGGGGCCCCTGTGTCCTTGCCCAAACTCAAAAAAGCCTATGAAAAAGGTACCAGGGGCATCTCATGGGGCCCCATACTGACCCCGGGCCCTCAGGCAGTGCCCGAGTTTCCAAATGGTTAGTCCGCCCCTGGCCATCCTTTTTAAAAAATAATCCAAAGGCTAAATCACTATACAGCCTCTTGGCCCTATTGACCATTAGTCCCACTCCATTTCTCTATGGTCCAACTTTACTTCTTCAATCAGAGCTCTGAATTACTTCCACCTCCTTGAGCATACACTCCAGAATCTACACGGAACTTCTTCCAGTGCTTCCTCCCTCCACAATATTCCCAGCATTGTCTCCTATCTGTCAGAAGGCTGGATGACACATGTCTGCTGATAGGATGTCTACCCATCATACCTCCTTGGAAATGGAGTCTGTGAGAGCAGACATCACCTGCTCCAATTAACAGAGTTGCTCTGTTTCTTAGGTAGCCTTAGAAAACTGCTAATTGCGTTTGCTTGTTCCCTGAAATCAGCCTGAAGCAAAAACATTTTCTTTTGTTACGTTATTGAGTAGTGATGAGTAAATCTTCCCAAGTTTGACGCCAAGGGTCTGGCAAATCTTGTTCAAAATTTAGTGAACCACAATTTAGTGGCAAATCCCACTGAAATGTAAGGGATGGGGCCAGGGGCGGACTGACAACTCATGGGGCCCCGGGCAATAGGGGATCATGGGGCCCCTGTGTCCTTACCCACACTCAAACCGCACCCAAAAAAGCCTATGAAAGGTACCAGGGGCATTTCATGGGGCCCCTTACTGACCCTGGGCCCTCGGGCAGTGCCCGAGTTTCCGAATGGTCAGTTCGCCCCTGGGTGGGGCATCGCTGCTAAGTTCTGGTCATTTTTTGGGCTAATAGGCAAACCAAAGTAAAAAAAAATGGCTTGGGAAGCTGGGCACTTCAATGGTGGAAATGTACCAAAAAAAACAATAATGAAATACGATACAGTGTGGAGAGGGACTATTCATGCGGCTTCTTGAGCAATTATGAAAATACAGAAGTTCTTTAAATAATATGCTTGGAGGATGCCTCACAGCTGTACATGGTGTTACAGGCCGGTTTATTTTCATGGCCAATCTCAGTGACCGTGTACACAGGCAGTACATATTTGGCTGTGGAATTGATTTGTTTTTGTCTTTACAATTATCTTGTCTTACTTACAGAAGAAGCATTCTAATCTAATTAATTTCAGTTTGATAAAAAGGCTTTCCGCAGGTAGCATTAGCAGCAACCCATTCCTGTTCATCAAATAGCAATAGGCTCTCTTTGACAGGCAGATAGAAATTGCCCTGCAGTTCACTGTGGCTGTTCTGCTGATGTAAAACTGTCCTGCCTGCTGGCCAGTTTCTGTCAAGTTCTCATTATATTTTAAGAGACCATAGATGATACAGCACTGTAAACTGGATACAAGAAGAACAATTTTAATGAGGGAGAATTAGCAGAAATGTACAAATTTAAATAGCAAGGCCAGGCCCAAATGTACTAGAGAAAACCAGTACAGGCTGAGGTTTTTACTACAAGAAACAAAACACTGCAGGGGATACAGTAGTGGAAATTTGGCCAGCAGCAGGACATTTTTAATCAGGGATATTAGGCCTAACTGGTGTGTGCCTAATATTTATTGTATAAAAAAAAAAAGTCAGCAAAGGGGTTGACAGCACAAAGAACTAGCAGTTAGAAATAAAGTACAATTTTCCCCAACCGACCCTAATCTCTCTCTTTGAAGTTTATCAACTTTCCCTATTTTGCTCTATAACAGCTTCAAATATGCCTACACTATGACTGTTTTGTGTTCTTCCCTTTTATAGTGTTGGATCCCCCATTGAGTTTCTGGAGAGGTATTCAGCTCCGCTCCTACCTGCTTTCCATTTTGCGTGCTCCTGGTATTTCTTGAAAGTTGAATGCCTTGTGAAGCTCTATGTCACAAGGGAGAACCAATTCACCATAGCCTCTCCATCATCTACTTTTCTCTTATTCCCCTGGAACCCAATTTTGTTTGTCCTTTCCTGGACAACTCCTTTACCACGTTACAACGGGAAAAGATCTTGCACTTTGCCCATAAGTCTTCTTTGGCCACCAAAGTACAGGAGACCAATTATAAGCTCCTCACACGTTGGTACCAGGTGCCGTCTAAACTTCACCGTATTTCGTCATAGCTTCCTGATGTGTGTTGGCGATGTGTGGTGCCAATGGTGGCACTCTCCTCCATGTCGTTTGGCAGTGCTAAAGGCTTCAGCCCTTTTGGTGAGGGGTGACTGACATTCTCAAACAATTTACCACTGTGGACCTGCGAGTAGTTCTCCAAGGTGAACGAGCTTAGGAACATGGAGGATCTCACGGTCACCCTGTATAATGAGATATTTTGGGACACCTGGCGCCCTTGGCAATATTTTGTGTTTTCAGATGCATACCTGACTGAATATACTCAGTGAATGTCTTGCCTCTGAATTTATTCTCTCTCGAGAAGAGGAGATTAAGGGGGGATATGATCTCCATGTGTAATACATAAGGGGGGATATGATCACCATGTATAATACATAAGGGGGGATATGATCTCATTGTATTAATACACCCTAAGGGGGGGATATGATCTCCATGTATAATACATAAGGGGGATATGATCTCCATGTATAATACATAAGGGGGGATATGATCTCCATGTATATACATAAGGGGGGATTATGATAATACACATAAGGGGGGATATGATCTCCATGTATAATACATAAGGGGGGGGGGATATGATCTCCATGTATAATACATAAGGGGGGGATATGATTCCATGTATAATACATAGGGGGGGATGTGATCTCCATGTTATAATACATAAGGGGGGATATGATCACCATGTATAATACATAAGGGGGGGATATGATCTCCATGTATATAATACATAAGGGGGGGATATGATTCTCATGTATAATACATAAGGGGGGGGGGATATGATCTCATGTATAATACATAAGGGGGGGGTATGATCTCCATGTATAATACATAAGGGGGGGGATATGATCTCCATGTATAATACATAAGGGGGATATATGATCTCCATGTATAATACATAAGGGGAGGATATGATTCCATGTATAATACATAAGGGGGATATGATCTCCATGTATAATACATAAGGGGGGGGGGTATGATCTCCATGTATAATACATAAGGGGTGGATATGATCTCCATGTATAATACATAAGGGGAGGATATGATCACCATGTATAATACATAAGGGGATATGATCTCATGTATAATACATAAGGGGGGCTATGATCTCCATGTTATAATATACATAAGGGGGGGGACATGATCTCCATGTATAATACATAAGGGGGGTATATGAATCTCCATGTATAATACATAAGGGGGGATATGATCTCCTTGTATAATAACATAAGGGGGGATATGATCTCCATGTATAATACATAAGGGGGATATGATCTCCATGTATAAATACATCAGTGGTTATATAGTGAACTCGGTGTAGTCATTCCCCCTGAGGTCATCAACAGAGGACAAGGGGGCGCTCTTTACACCTGGAGGGAAAAGAAATGTAATCTCCAAACACGGAAAGGTTTGAGCTGAGAACATATGGAATAGACTCCTCAAGAGTTGGTTGTGGCCAGCTCAGTGGATTGCTTGTAGGAAAATTCCTGGATATAACTGGATATA